TTTTCTAGTCTTTTATGTATATCCTCAAAACTTTCATTCGTAGTGTTTTTAGGTAAATAGGGATAACTAGGTTTTTTATGTTTTTCAACTTTTTTCAAAAATTCTTCTATTATATTTTCTTCATCTACTATATTCATCATTATTTTTGGTTCGTAACATGGCTCTGATACCATCTCGTCGGAGTGTGCAGCGGAGGGGTTAATATTTTTGAGCCAATTAGATTCTTCATAAGTATTTAAAATGCCACAATAGAATTTATAAAACTCACTATTTTTTATTAATACTTTTTCTTGAATAATTATGTTTAATTTTTCAATTCTCCTTCTTAAATTAAGAATTAATTTATATATGTCTTTTTCCATTTTGATTGCTTCGTTATCTATGGAATTGTTTTTATTTTTTATTTTTGGGTCTAAATATTCTATAAAGAAGTCTTTCAGATCTTCTTCTAGATAGATTAATTCGTTTTCTGTATAGATTTTTAGATCAATAAAATTTTTTATAATATTTGGATCTAGATTTATTAAAATTTTATGAACTATATTTGCTTGAGGACTTATTTGAAGGTTTTTAGACATTGTAGTGGCTTTGGTTGCAATTTCTCTGTTAAGGGTATTTTTGGAAAATTGATTATTTGGAGACTAGTTTTCAAATGTTTTTATTTTTTAGACTAATTTGGAAAATCCTCCTTATATTTAGACTATTAAACTATATTTCCCCATGTATAAACACCATGCTTTATGCATAGCTAAGTTCAATCCATTATATACAATTCTAAGATTATTATTTAATTAACTGAGACCAGAAGCTTCCAGAAGCATTTGATTATAATGTCACGGACTGCATTAACTGTCGGGTACTAGAGTTACATTTTTCGAAGGATTAATGTTGTGTGCACAGCACACTGTAAATTTCTCTTGGTTTTGATTCGTCAACTTTGTTCACTTCAAATTGTTAATAAATGTTTATGTCAAACTAATTAATAAATAAATTAACGAATATGATAATATTTAAGTGGCGGCGAGTGATTGGCGGAGGAGCCATCACTTCTACTGCGCCGCGCGTTACACCCCCCATTCTACCCCACACCTCGACACGTGTCAACAGCCATCACTGAAGTGAATCACGCGCTTTGCTTGCTTTTATATATATTCTAATCGAAAACCCAGATTCCAATTCCAATATACATTTTCGATTCATCGATTCATTCGTATCTTGTTTTTCCTCAATTTCGCCTTGTTATTTCATTCTTTTCCTGCTCCTATTTCTTTCTCTTTCTAAAATAACTCAACAAAATTCTGTGTCTGATTCTCTCTCTGGATTGTGTTTTTTTTCAGCTAGGTATGTTGTTTCTCTTTGCATAAATACATTATATTTTCGGATGATTTTATTTATTGCGTTGGATTATAGGGATTTTTTTTTCCTTTTTTGCAATTGATATCTCTTGTAATGTTTTTTATACCTGGTTTTAGATCGTTGATATTGCATTTTTCTCCTTGTTTAGTTTGGGTGAATTTTATTGCACCAAATATTGCTAATTTTGGGGAAAATTGTCAAAGTATTGGAGTTTCAAAATTTCAGGTATGCTAATTTTGTTGGAGATATCTTGTTTTTGCTATCTAGGAACAAAATCGAAATCTCTATGCTGGAAACCCCTCCATTCATTGTTTCTTTTTATTTGTATGTACACGCGATGTCTAATTTAATCTCATAAGCAAAAACACATCTCTTTAACCACAAAAAGAGAAATTGAACAGATTTTTTAAGTTCTGATAAAAACCAATCAAATACGAAGATTGCTATCAGAAGGGGGAAAATGTGAATTTTGATCATTTTGGCATCATTTGTTATAGTAATGAATTGCATTTGGTGAGGGAAAATCACTCTTGAGATATTTGCTGATTCTCATCTTTGGGCCTATTTGTCGTTAAAGATTAAAGTGTATTAGTTGATTTTTATTAATTTTGCTGGTCCAATGGGTTTTCTTCGGTTTGTCGTTAAAGATTAAAGTGTATTAGTTGATTTTTATTAATTTTGCTGGTCCAATGGGTTTTCTTCGGTTTAATTTAATACTGTATTGTATGTCATGGAAATTATCCCAGACATTGCCATTGGAACTACCAACCTATGAAAAGTTGAAAACGCATAGTTATCAGAATCATCTATCGTGGCATCTTTTGAAACTATCGAACAACATCATATCATTATTGTCAATTTAAAAAGTTTAACCAGAATTTGGCTTGATCGGAAAGCATATATCATGTGGGTTAGTTGAAACATCATTTCAACCCATCTACAGTAGTGTTTTTTTTGCCTCTTCCATTTAGACATTCTGAAGGCTATGACTCTTAAAGCAATCACGGTACACTATATATATGTAACTTTTACTGTCATAGGTATCAATATGTCGTTTTTCATTAGATAAGAAAATTGAGATTCTGGGAATGGATCCAAGGTCTAAATTGAGAACTTCACGGTTTGTAGAAGTAACTCTTTTGAGATGTTGACAATTTACCAAAGCTTGTGATTTTCAGTTTCTACTTGGGTTCTGAATTTTTTTGTTAATAACATTACAATTAAAAACAGACAGCATATGCAAGTGCTTGAAATTACTGCATCCTTTTCTTGTGAAAATGGAGAGAGAAAGTTGATTGATCATCTTATCCCTATTCTTTTTCGTTCATGTCGACGGGGAAGGGACATGATCGGACCCATCTAATTATAATTATTCTCTTTAATTTAACTGTTAGTGGAGCCTTGCAATATTTTATTCAATGGATCCAGTCTGGCATATTGGCATATCTTGATTGTTTGATTATCTGGGGTGCTGTAATCTATATGAAATTTTTGGCTTTATTGTTTTTGTTGCAAACTTTCAAAGACTATTGTGTCATTAACTTCTATTGATCTTGAGATACCTACACTAGTGTACCTTTTATTAGGAACGACACTTAATCTCTTGCTTTCTTATGCAGTGATATGGCATTTCAACACAACTTTGGTGCCCCTACTATGCATTTTTCATCTGAGGGAGATGTTTCGCAGAAACAAAAATTCAATTCAGTGTCACCAACAGGAACAGCTTCAGAAAATGTAAACGGATGCTTTGATTGCAACATTTGTTTAGACTCAGCACGTGATCCAGTGGTTACCCTTTGTGGTCATCTCTATTGCTGGCCTTGCATTTACAAATGGCTTCAGGTTCAGAGCTCGTCCTTGGATTCAGACGGTAAACCAAAATGTCCAATTTGTAAGGCTTACATCACAACCTCTTCATTGGTTCCTCTCTATGGTCGTGGCACATCATCAGCCGAATCTGACAGCAAGAAACACCAATTGGATCTCATCATACCCCACAGGCCAGCGGCGCATGGTATGAACACACTACTCGCTCCTAATCAGCAACTTCATCCCAATCCTTTTCAGCCACAGCAGCCGTCTTTTCATCACACTTTTGATAATTATGCTTCAATGACACCATCTAGCATCGGGGGAAGCACAACTACTAGTTTCTTCAATCCAACAATACATATGTTTGGTGAAATGGTTTTCGCTAGAATATTTGGGAGCTCAGAGACGAGTTTATTCTCTTATCCTTATCCAAATTCCTACCCCATTACGGGAAATGGTGGCCCTCGGTTGAGAAGGCAAGAAATGCAGGTGGATAAGTCTCTTAACAGGGTATCCATCTTTCTCCTCTGCTGCTTTATTTTGTGCCTTATCCTATTTTAGGTTTTCTATTCATCCTTGTATAGCTGTACATATGGGAGCGGATACCATGTAACTTTTTTAAGAGATGTTGCGAAAAATAATAATAATAATTCTTTCGTAGTATGTTTAAGAAAAGTTTTTCTGAGTAATTATGTTGATGATGTTGGACATATTTTTCTTTTCCGTATTCTTATCTATGTTGGAGTTCACAAAAGTTCTCTTGTGATGTTTATCTATCCATCCTGCATCCTTTTGAGTTTTGCTTGTATTCTTCATTTTGGATCCTTCCAACTTTTGAGTGCTGTAACATCAGATTGAACCATTGGCCAAGGTAAACATCATTGTATAGTGGCAAAATATTTTATGTTTTACTAATCTGAATTATGTCGTGAAAAGCTAAATGAATTGTATGAAATTCAAAAGCGTGACAAGAAAGATAAAGGTATCAATCTCCTTCTACCCCAACATTGTTACGTAAGACACTATAGTTAACAAGTAAAATGATTTTTGACAAACTCCTTGTCAATATGGTTCATCACCCAGCATATTACGATCAAAATGAGCGTTCAAAGTACAACTCGCAAATGCAGACAAATTATAAACTGCTTAGTTTTGCTTTCATTTTGCAAAAAATCAACTGGTACGCTATTACCATTGATGACGACGATTGCATAGATGCAACACTTTAGTCATCTACAAATTTCGCAAAATAAAATTTCTTTCATAATTTGGCAAAACAGTATGATTTCCAAGTAATACGCCGGATTGCAAAACTCCTCACGTCTTCAAAATTTGAAAATTTAAGATTTTTTAGCAAAACTTAGTTTCTCTGGATTAATCTCATCAACCTGGATTGCAATCATCTTGCCACTCTCGTTCTCAGTAAATGGTATAGACTCCCGGTTCAGAAGCTTGATAATCTGCAGCAGACACATCAAGACATTTCCAATTATCAATTAATAGCCTCAAATGTTGCAGATACAGTGCCCAACATCTTGGTACTGCACCTTGAATCTTTTTCTTCCCCTCCAAAAACAAATGAAATATGCATTACCAGAGCGCCAAATAGAAATGTAAATGATGTACAAAACTATCACAGTTAAACCCAACAGATTAATAAACAATAACTAGACTATTCGAAGAACATCAACCACCAAACTAGAAGGAAAAATAGAATTGCAAATAGTATCATAAGACTTTCGCTTCCGTATTTCATGACCTTCTTTTCTGCTTTACCTACAGTGCATAGAGCTTTTTTCTCTTTTTATGAGGCGGGGGCTGTGGGTAATCTATCAACAGAAATATCTGGTTCAGTCGGAAAAATAATTAGGAAATCCATTGGACAACATCCCATGAGTTTTTCGATATTCAGCAAAAATAGATATGATCCACACACGTAACTTTGAACTAGCCTTTTAAATTGTAGCGTGCTACTATGACATATTTGGTAGGGAGGATTACATAATATGTAACAGCATTAAAGAAGAAAAATAAACAAAAAAAAATCAAGTTTTTCATGAACTCCAGTCCAATCCAGAATTTTTTATTAAACTATTCACTTACTCATATTTTTTACTGTTAATCTAATCTCACTCTCAATCAATACGAGCATGAACAATAGAAACACAAACTTCAATTATCAAGCAATGAAAGGAATACCCATACCATTCGCTTCCGAAGCCCTTCTTTGGCATCTTTTTCATTGGTCCCAACTATAACATTGAGATGCTTAACAGCTGATGGAAAAAGAACAGTTCAGAACCATGTCTTTAAGTCAAACCTAGTCATGAGAAAAGTGAGAGAACGATAGCGTACATGGAAGACCCGAAAAAGTAGGCAAGTGAAGTCTCAGCATGTGAACAGCTTCCTTCGGCTCAAATAAATAAACATTAAGAGAGAGTTCTTCTTCTGCGCTACTGCAGAAAGTGCGAGTTATTAGGCCATTTCATGGGCAACGGATGAATAATGGGAAGAAGTCAAAGAAGAAAGAAGGCATAGCACTTTGTCCTTACCTGTTCTCAAGAAGTTTTTGTGCAGATGTTTCGTCTGCTTCTCGGGCCTTCTTCATAAAAAAGTGTCCCTACAGCCCCACCACCAGCACAGAAAAGAAACACAAACAACGTAAGAGAGAAGAAGAAATAAAAAGTAATAACATCCGTTAATAATAACACGTGATCAGAAGTTCATATAACTCAATCTAACAAAGGAAGCTCAATAGTTTATTTTTCTTTGTCAAGGAGAAGCGAAAGGCGTGAAAGGTGAAAGCATGCTTGAAATCTCAAAATTTAATCATATTCTACGTCGATATAGACTAGATGACGAACTTCAAGAAAAAAAATTGGTGGTATAGTCATAAAAATCACATGATAAAAAAGTATGGTACACTGTTCAATAATTTATTTTCAAATCTAAGCTCTAGTGGCTAGTGCAAGTTTGAAGGAGACATTTACTAGACCTCTTGCAGAAACTTTTGTGCTTTCTCATGATCCTTTTCAGTGAATGCATCAACAGCCTGTCCAGAAACCATGACTATTTTCAATCGAGAATTCAGATAGATACATTGGACCACGGTTCCAGATCCCAATGCAGAACAGAAAGAGTCAGATAGGGGTTTTGTGGAGAGTTGGAGGTAGTGAGGAGTGGACACGGGAGGTCAAAGACTTACAGCTTTGTAGTATTCTTTCATCGCAATCCAATACTCCTTCACAGCCTCACGCAAGTCCTCATAGCTATTCTCACCATTTTCATCACCTAAGAACAACCGTTTATATCGCACCAGAGAGCATCGAAGTAAGGAATAAGAAACCAAGTAACCAAATTACCCTTTTCAATATATGTAAATGTATAATTCCTGTGTAATGAAGTATGAAATAGAATAGAAATGCTCTCTATTTTAATAATTCCAGCATTAAAGGCTTGAAATTAGTCATCAAGCATTACGGCTAAGGATAAAATTTGGTGTACTCAACTTTATATCTTTTGGACTAAGCCTGAGCATTAAAATATCAAAAAATCCTTGTTTGAAAGGGACTTGTACAAATGATTCAAGTAGCGAGTTCCAATAACAAAGAATGAAAATTTGTGCACTGTATTTAAAGAGAAAGATGCTCTATGAAGGTACCTCTAGAAAATGAAACATTGGCAAATACCACATCTTATTATTGTCTTCACTTTAAAAAGTGAAAAGACTGTACAAAGATATTTCATATTTGGGAAAAGAAAATAAAATCCCAAGTACAAATAGCATTGTGGAAAACAGAACATATAACATCAGCATAAACGTCAAAAACATCTATATCAAAATTTTAATTTCTTTGAAGTTCATTACTCCAGAGGCCATAATCTCAGTCAAGTTTAAATTGAAGGAAAAAAATGTAAAGAGAAAAATTAAAAATTGCTGACCAAATGAACCAGACAACACTTGAATACATCCTTCTTGCATAATAAATAAACTTAAAGCCAAGTTAAACAGTACAGATATTTTGCCTAATTCCAAGGCAGAAAAGCAAAGCAATGAGTAAATTCTGACTAAATCATCTACCATCTGCAACATCTAAGCTTCATATTGGAATTGGAGAAAATAAAAAGCCATAAGCATGTCATAAAGAGGCAAAGCACTCACTCCTTTTACCAACTGGTCGACTTGTAATAAAGGTAATGTTTTCTAAACTTGTATCTTCTGGTGGTTTCGCCACAAACCGTCCATAAGGAGTCCTTCGCTTGTCTCCTCTAATCGGTTGAATTCTCTCTGACTTCTCTTCGATTCTTTCGGGTGCATTAAATAGTGCCTGTAGAACTTCTTTTTGGATATCATGCTTTTCCTTCTCTCTTCTAGGTAATCGTAATTCACTTCCAATTGAGATATCTGCATTAGATCTGCACAGTGTAAAAGCAAAATTAAAGCATAATTAGATTTTTTAGTACTGAAATAGTTTCTAGATTAAACTTATGTTTGGTTATGTTTATAAATTGTTTATACACATTCAAGCCATTTTTTACCCATACATTTTAAGCAACTCACAATTACTACCCACTTATCCACCACTCATTTCTATTTATTTATAATTTAAACTATTTATAAACACTCCCCAAACATGCACTAAGATTTTTGAAGATGATAAAGAGTTCCTCCTGCTCTAATACTGCAACACTTGCAGTTTATAAAAGTTTCTAAATGAATAAATTACCTTTCACAGAAGTTGAGGTGTGGTGGTTGTCCTTCACATGGATTATCTTCTAGCTCCGGATTATTCCCCATATGCTATTTAATGAGATGAGTAGACAGACAAACAGAATAGGTTAAAAAAGAGATTCAGTATATGTTGATGAATTTTGCAAATGGTGTGTAAATTTGTTTTACTTTCTATTGCAACTTCACATCAATTATAAGTCACATCTCCAATCCCTTAAAAACCATTCTAAATCAAGATACATAATTTTCTTTATTGAATCTCTTACAATCCTGCATGGTGGGGAGGGGTGGAAGTGTTGGGACAAGATAAGGAAAATCATGAAGCACAAGACATCTTATTATTTAGCTTCGTCAGAAGCATAAATTGAAAATCATGACTCCATCACAAAAGTAGCCATCTTGAGCTTCTATCTGTGCGAAGATCATTTGTAATGCACACAATGGATAGGCATACTTTCCAAGTAGGTTTTTTAAGAATCAAGTTCACCTTATGAGCATCAATGCCAATAACGTCATCTTTCTTCCCTAATGTTGATGCTGAGAGGTCCAGAAGCTTATCCATACTCTGCATATTTGCAAAAGTGAGAGAACAACGAGAAGTTGTAAACTTAGAAAATGAAATGCATACGAGAGTGCACTAAAACATTAAGTGATATTTCTGCAAATAGTTCCTTCCAAGAAACACTGCTAGCGGAAGGCTGGTACAAACTCTTTGGTATTTCATGCAAGTTGCTACATCTAGACTTCAATCCACAACTTTATGAATGTGATGCCAATACCAAACCGAAATCGTAATACGTGGATAAACTATTAGCGCGTATAAATGGGAAGTTAATGATAGCTTAAGCGCAGTACAATTGAAAAGGCACCTAAACTTGGACATATTCATAAATTTTAAACTTCATTGGTTATTCAGAACATAAGAAATCTTTCAAGAATGCCAAAATTTAGGAGCTGATAATAGCAAATCGATATAGACTTACCATTTGCATGTCATATCCACACTGGCCTGCAAATGGAAGACATTGCTTGATTAGACATAATAACAACGAGAAATAAGAATGATAAGTTAATAATCTTTTAGCTAGGAAAAATAATTCCGGTCACATTAAGTGGCAGCGTCTGTTGCTAAACACAAAATCTAGTTTCATTGCATGAATATGTAAAGTATACACAAAATATCTCAACACTCTATGTGCTTTCAGAGTTCTTCGAATTCTATTTTTATCACAAAACGAAGAAATAGACATACTTAAACTATCAGAAGAATTAATGTGTTATAGTATTCACAGTTCCCCTTTCAATTACAGATATACAGAACCTTTTAGCTATAACTGCTAAGCAGGTGAGAGTATTAAGCTAAGAGTTTTTACCAACAACGTCTTGAATTACATCCATTTCAAGCTGAAAGCCATCTCCAAGCATTTTGAAAAGAAATTGTTCAATGTCTTGATGCAGGGTTTCATTCCTTGCTGTAGAATCTGATTCCAAGTTCTCATCCCAAATCTCAGAGACTGGAAAATCCGTCGAATTCAATTTCAGTGGTTTGGTCTTCTTGCATGTTTCATTAGTTACTGACCTATGTTGAGAATATTCTCTCCCAATCACACATGACACAGTTCCCATTGATGCTGAACACTTTTTGACCTTGGAGTTAGAAGCACAAACATTCTCCAGAATATTATCCATTTGATATTCAGAAGACAGACTTGTTTTGCTTTCCAAATCATCTTGTGAAACTGACATAGATGTGCCAGAGGTGCTTCCCTGCATCTTACGGAGTAGTTCACAAGTAATGACTAAATTGCGATCTGCTTGACAGTAGGCAGAAGCTATATCGTCAAGAGAAACCACAGATCCAAAGGCATCAAGTAATTGCTTGAGATTCTTTTTATCCTCATTGGTGTAAGAAAACGTCGAAGGCAGTGTTTCCATTTTCATCCTTCAACGGAAAAAGAAGCAAGAATTTCAATAAAGACTAAAAAACAAATGGCAAATCAGAAAAATTCACTTGAGCAGACTGCACAACCTTCTTTAACTTAATGATTACATGTTAGTTTAAACAGTGATGTAAATGGAAGAAAATCCACATAATTGTTTTTGGTTTTAAATAAAACATGGAAAATATGTTCCAGCACACAAGAAATGCCAGTATTACAGAGACAAGATGGAAAACCAGCATCCCACCTTGCAGGACACTAGACCTAATTGGCTAAGACAAGCCAAAAACGATGTAAATACAGAATCAGGCGCTCAAATGGACAGATGCTAGGAAGTTTTGAGAAATCACACTTTTGTCATTTTAATAGAAGCATCATCAACCCATACTTCGTCTTAAACTTGTAAACCAGTCTAAGATAAGGACAAAAGTCTCATAAAAATCACTTCAACAATCTAAATAAATTTACTTTTTTCTCGATCCATGCCAACATAGTGAATTTAATAAGATAGTCAATCTAATTCCCTGAAGCATCGTCTGCAATTTCAAGCATTCAAAAAAAGTTATACATTACCTAAAAAAATTCTTTTCTAGAGGGGGAAACTACAGCAATTCTTCAAAGTGCTTCTTTGGATTTCAATATAAGTACATTAAAATTTAAAAGTCAAAGTCAAATTTTAATTTTAAACATGCATTATGTAGAGCCCACAACTATTATTCACTTATACACCACTCATTTCATTATAATTTCAGTAACTTACAATCAAATCCAAACAAACACATTATTGTAAATGAATATATATTCTCAATGCTAACGTCACATTGTTGAATGACAAAGTAGAACAAACAAGCCAGTAGAAACTATATGTGCATTTCAATGATATAAATATAATTCCATGGATCCTAATTCGAATACTATCCAATTAAATTGTCGAAGTCATCAAGGTTATATTCAGTAAAAATTCAAGTTTCGGGCATCTGGAACGCAGATAAGCATTGCAAATAATTAGGCATATAAAATAAATGAATTTCGTCTAAATTTTGGACATTAGAAAAACACATTGAATGTAGAGATTGATAGTTGATCAATATCTTTAAAATTAAATATGTTTCTTTTGTAAAGCTCCAAACTTTCAACAAAAAAAAAATCAGCTTACATTACCAAGAAAAACCGCGCCACTCCTTGAATGTATAAAATCGTACAAACTAGATACAAAGTCCAAGGAACGCAATTCAACAATCAAATAAAGAGATCTTTTAACAAATTTACCAAGACTTTAATTTATCAACCACTACTGATTTTAGAATGAAAACGAAAATCTATTAAATTGTTATTAATAGAGTTCAGCCAATGTAAATTGAAGAAAACAATAGAAATATTTAAGAAAAAAATTCTTACTTGAAACTTGAGAAAATAGGTGATTTATTTTCCACTGATTCTTTCCTACTCTCTCTGGTTTACAGTATAAGCGTAATGCTTTTTGGAGAAGGAAATGAGAGTAGAGTGAGAGGATAAAAATGGAATTGGTGCATCGCTTTTAATGCGGAGTATTGTGGACTAATCGAAATTGGTAGGCCTGGTCACGTGATAGTCAGGTGCATGAGAAAACTTAATCTAAGTGATTAAAAGTTCAAAATTGATTAGTAATTTTAAGGATTCTGAGGCGACGGTTGTTTCGAACTCATTCTTACTGAAAGAAGAATATTAGTATTTCACTCAACATATGAAGAAAAAAAAGACGTCAAACTAACAGCAAACAAAATTTATTTCTCACCAATGGTGATTATACAATAAGCACTGGTTTGTTGAGTGGAGATATTTTCAAAAATTCTGTTGGAAAACAATAAATAATGCCTAGAATTATTTCAATGACCCTATACATTAAATTATAAACTAGAGCAGGAAATAATGACATCTAATCAATTCTTCAATAATTGTACATAAATATATGCACAATGCTAAAGACACATTGTTGAATGACAAAGCAGAACAAACAAGCCAGTTGAAACTACCTCTGCATTTGAATGTTATAAATCGAAAAACTAGATTTCAAAATATCTGCTACCAGTGGATCCTAATTCGTATATTATACAATTAAATCTTTGAAGCCGTTAATCTTATATTTAGTATCTATTCATACTTCAGGCATTTCAAAGAGCATAGACAAGCACTGCAAAGAATTAATTATAAACAGAAAAGAGGCTAAAATTTTTAATACAAATGGCAGACTTCACAATTAATTTTCCAAAGTTACGAAGTTTTCATCAACAATTTTCCGAAATTAAGTAGTTTTCACGTGTATATATGTACATTTGTTGCCTATATAGCTCTTTTTTTTTTCTTTTTTCTTTTTTTTTTTTTTTTAAACCTAGAATCGCCATTACTAATTAAGAAGTCTCTATCGTCAAGATAAAAGTCTAGTTATCCCTCTCGCATAATTAGGCAAACAAATTAAATGCACTGAATTTCTTCTCAATTTTAGCCCCCGTTTGAACCACATTACCTGAAAATTGAAATGGGGGTAATAGTATTTTTTAGAAAAATGAGTGGTTGAAAAAGAAGGAAAAGTTTTGGATTTAAGTGTAATATTATTTTATGGAAAATTGTGTGGTTGAAAATAGGAGAGAGAAAAATGAGATGTAATGTAATTGAATTTAATGTGGACCAAACGGGGGCTTAAACATTATGCCCTTGTTTGAGTCCCATTTTTCCACCAAAATACATTCTTCAACAATAATTTGATACTATTTCAATCACACATTTTTCAATAAAATAATATTATACGCAAATCAAATTTTTTTCTATTTTTTAACCACACATTTCACGTCAATACACTATTCAAAAATTCATTTTCTCCCCTAAAATGGGGCTCAAATAAGGGCTATAATAATACATTGAACATAGGGATTATTTTTGAATCTTCAAAATTAAATATGTCTTTTACGTAAACCTGTAACCTTTCAAAAAAATAATTATAAATAAATAAAAAAATAAAAAATATATATATATCAACTTACATTAGCAACAAAATTACGCCACTACATTCAAGTTTTAAATCGTACGAAATTGGATACAAATTTAAAGAAATGCAATTCAACAATCAAATAAAGAAATTTAATTACAAATTTACCAATATTTTAATTTATCAATCAACGGTTACTAATTTCAGAAAGAAACGAAGATATGCTAATATTATAAATGAAATTGGGCCTATTCAAATTGAAGAAAAAGATAATCTCACTTGGAAAATTGAGAGAGAAAACCGGATGCTTCTTCTCCAGTGACTCTATTTCTCTCTCTCTAGTTGGCTGGAGTGTAATGCTTCTTGAAGAAGGAAGAGACTAAAAGAGGAATGGAGCAGTGGTCTTTTGGCAATTAGTGGGCCCACTCACGTGATACTGAAACTTCTCTCTCTTGGAACCTTTTAAAACTCACAATTTCAAAAAAATAATTATAAATAAATAAAAAAATAAAAAATATATATATATCAACTTACATTAGCAACAAAATTACGCCACTACATTCAAGTTTTAAATCGTACGAAATTGGATACAAATTTAAAGAAATGCAATTCAACAATCAAATAAAGAAATTTAATTACAAATTTACCAATATTTTAATTTATCAATCAACGGTTACTAATTTCAGAAAGAAACGAAGATATACTAATATTATAAATGAAATTGGGCCTATTCAAATTGAAGAAAAAGATAATCTCACTTGGAAAATTGAGAGAGAAAACCGGATGCTTCTTCTCCAGTGACTCTATTTCTCTCTCTCTAGTTGGCTGGAGTGTAATGCTTCTTGAAGAAGGAAGAGACTAAAAGAGGAATGGAGCAGTGGTCTTTTGGCAATTAGTGGGCCCACTCACGTGATACTGAAACTTCTCTCTTTTGGAACCTTTTAAAACTCACAATTTTTTAATAAAATAATTTTATAAATAATTTCAAAATTCAATATTTACAAACTTTATTATAAGAAAATAAGAAAAATAAGCAGTCTCATGTGGCAAGTGTAACAACGTTTGTGAGTGGTGGTAGGACATGGAAGTATTACCTCCCGTTTGGTCATATTCTATCCAAATTTTAATGGTTTAGGGTTTTTTTGAGAAATATGTGATTGAAAAAAAATGAAATTTTTTTTATTTGTGTGTAATATTATTTTATAGAAGATTGTGTGGTTAAAAATAAGATAGAGAAAAAGAATGAGAAAGAGAATGTAAGCCAAACGGGGGCTTAGTTTGGTTCATAATGAGCCCATTAATCTATTCCCTTTTGATTCCACCTTCAAGAAAAAGAAAGTTGGTGAAGCCAACATGGTCCATAACTAGCCCTAAACCCTAAAGTTTATCATTTTTCAAATAATGAGAATGAAAAATATAGCTGTTGCGAGTCGTACACAAAAGATAAAAATTCAAATTTGGTAATTTGATGTGATAAATAACGATCATATTTCTCATTTTAATAGGGAAAGTATGGGAATCGAACAGGGGCATAATGAAGCTAGTATGGCCCATAATGAGCCCATTATTAATTCATTCTTCTTAAAATTCATTTCCCTCACTCTCGAGGAAAGGCAAGATGGTGAAGGTGAGGCCACGACTACATATCAGAGGGCAGTAAGCGAACCCACACCATTAGTAGTTGAAGTGCACATAATAGAAGAGGCACCGCCACTCAACGAGGTGTACTAGATAGAAAATGATTTTGTGCATGCTGCAATGACGCTACTAACTGAAGTATGGGATAAAACATATCTTTTGCAAGCTACAAGCACCATTGGATAATGACGTAGTGGAAGATTATAGGGAAGATGAACAATTACAAAATGAGAAAACTCTCAAAATTTTTTTTATTGAATTCAAGAACTCCCGCCTCAAAGGGCTTACAACGTCTTAAATAGAAAAAAAACTAGTAAAATTTGAAAAATAGAATAAAAAAGATATTTTTCCAAAAATAGAAAAATATGAGATAATTACTAAGATGAAAAACCCTAATCTTCAGGATCATCCTCCAACAAACGGAATACAAATTCGAATTTTATGGAAAGAGATATTACAAAAATAAAAATTACCATAAATAGTAAAAAACCTAAACGAGAGCCTAAATGATGAATTTTGTCCAAAATTGGCCTTGGCTCGATACCAATCGAATTAAACTAGCAATTCGCCAAAAACCAATAAACCCGAAGTTATCATGAAATCAAAAACCATTGTTTTGCCTTGTGACGGTTCCATTTCATCATAAACTCTAATCTCTTATGCACTTCATCAGATAAGGTTCATGAGATAGAAGATAGTTCCATACAAGCTGTGATGACATCGCAAGTCGAAGGCCACGGGATAAAACATGAGACATTTCACATAAGCCATATAAAGGAGATGCATGGGGTTGAAGGTGGTCCCATGTAAGCCATATAAGGATAGTAATTATATGAGATTGTTGCATTAAAACTACTAATTGATCTACAATATTTCAATAGAAAATAAAATGAAAGAACAAAGTTAGTTTTATTGGATGGTTCTCTCCTTAAATCTAGTTCAAAAAGCTCCTGTTTGAGCCCCATAGTTTGATAAAAATACATTTTTAAACAGTATTTTGACATCATTTTAATATATGTTTTTCAATAAAATCATATTACACGCAAATTTAAAACATTTCCTTATTTTTTAACAACACATTTTTCATCAATAGACTATTCTAAAAATTCGTTCTTAATAAAAGAATGTGGCTCAAACAAGTACTAAGTATATTAAGTCTCTCTATTTCCCTATAACGTTAAAAGGAGGAAAAAGAAAAAAAAAACACACACACACATCTACCCATAAAATTAGTAATTAGGTAAGGTGAATTTCAGTCGGAACCCTATTCAAAGATCTTCTTTCATAGCTACCAGCTTCCTGTCAGGATGGGGATAGCTTGCTTCTTCACAAGCTTATCCTGATTCGCTTGGCCAGAAGGCTAGTGACGAAACTTCCTTAGCTAAAGATACGAATTCGAAATATAGAAACTCATTAGTTCAGAAAGAAAGATCATGGCGATAAGAAAAGGTGCATTGAGGTCTGTCTTCCTAATCATAAGAATCTAGACGCCCTCATTTTGAGACTTCATGGCTTTTGGGCCACCCGCGACAAATATACAAAAAGTTATTCGATCACTCAAAAAGCAAGGAGGAGCTTCTCTATTCTAATTGTATTTGTTTTAAAGAAGCAAAAGCACAAATCTTTCAAATGATTTGAGTGACCTTTGTTTTGAAAATACCGAAAATTCAAAAGCAATTGAAAATGCAAATTATACATGACGGATCCAAGATTAGCAAATCCTTAAATCTCACATGTTACATAAAATAAAGAAGTACAAAAATTATTTATTCACGAAAAATTTTCTGCTCTTCCTATGTTCATCATTGAACAATAGTCTTAACCCTTGTTTGATCCCCATTTTGGGGAAAATAATGCATTTTGAATAGTAGATTGAGGAAGAACATGTGATTGAAAATAAGTTTTGAAAAAATGAATTTTTAGAACAAAGAGAATCAAACAAGAGC